TTGTCCAACTCTCTGATGCATAACAAGTGATTGCAAAGACCATGGCCTGTATCAGATGCACCTTAGTCTCCAGAGAGACACCACTGCTCTTCAGTACTTTAGAGAAGTCCCTAACAGCAGACTTTCCCATGGCAATACACCTTTTAATTTCCTGGCTACTGGTGCCAAGAGTGCTGACTGTGGAGCCGAGCAAACTAAAGCTGTGAACAATCTCAGTCTCTTCACCATCCATACTGATGCTGCCAACTGGCCCAGTGGTGAGAATTTTTGTGTTCTTGACATTGAGCCTCAATCCATATTGTAGGCTGCAGTCCTTGACACTCTGCAGCAAGCATTTCAGGTCCTCCTCAGTTTCAGCAAGCAGGGTTGTGTCATCTGCATAATGCAGATTGTTGATAGATCTTCCACCAATCTTGACCCCATATTTCTCCTCATAGAGCCCAGCCTCTAGGAAAATCTGTTCTGCATACAGGTTGAAAAGGTATGGCGACGGGACACATCCCTGGCATATGTCTTTCCCAATTCTGAACCATACAGTGTTCCCTTGCTCTGTTCTGACGACTGCCTCCTGGTCCAAGTATAGGTTTCGCATTAGAACAATCAAGTATTCTGGGATTCCCATTCTTCTCAGAGTCAGCCACAGTTTGTTATGATCCACACAGTCAAATGCCTTTGCATAGTCAATAAAACACAGATATACAATCCTCTGGTATTCCCTGCTTTCAGCTAAGATCCATCTAACATCAGCTATAATATCCCTAGTACCATTACCCCTTCTAAACCCAGCCTGGGCTTCTGACCGTTCTCTGCTGATGTGCTGATCCAGTCATTTTTGGATAATCTTCAGTAGAATCTTGCTTGCATGTTAAATCAATGAGATTGTTCTATAGTTTCCACACTCTGTTAGGTCACCTTTCTTTGGGATGGGAACAAATATAGATCTCTTCCAGTCAGTTGGCCAAGTGGTTGGTCTCCAGATTTCTTGGGACAACTTGGTGATCATATCCAGGGCAGCATCTGTTAGCCGAAATATGTCAACTGGTATACCATCTATTCCTGCAGCCTTATTTTTTGCCATATCCTTCAAAGCAGCCTGAACT